AAACTTAACAGAAATTATTTCTAAAGATAGAAAAATCAAGCTGGGTATCCAAAATGCTGGTTTAGCCAAGAGGATTTGAAAGCACACTGAATCACTATTTGTTTGCCATAAAACATTCATATATTTAACCCCACACTTTCAGGCTTTGGCTGGTTGCTCTAGAAGACAAGAGGCAGAGTCCTTCTCATCCCATTTAACCACCAGGCCTCTCCTGTCCCCTTCCCCATTTTCTGCTTAAGCCTTTGAGATTGTGAAAGCTTAGCAAGCATTTTCCATTGTCTTGTTTGCAGCATGGATTAAGAGATGCTTCCTAGACTTGCTCTGAATTTTAATATTTTCCTTTACTGTAAGGACAAGGACTGTTGTGTTTGGTGTATCCAACAGATAGAGTTAATAAAAGATTAAAAACAGCTGTCACAAATCAAGAGAACATGACAAATAGGGACAAGGCAAAGAGCCACAGATGCTTCATCTAGAGGAAAAACCACAAAGCAGTGATAGAGGTCTTCAGGCAAAGATGTACACAAAGATGTACGAAATTAATTGTTCTCCACCTCCACATGAGCTAAGAGCAATGGACTTTTAACAACACAGGACATTTAATGCAGTCATCAGGAAAGGCTTTCCAACACAAGGATGGCATTGGAGGAGGTTGCCAGGAAGGTATTGAAAGACTGGTTTAGACATGCACCTGTCAGGCAGGACTGATGTCTAATTGAATTAGCTTCAGATCAGAAGACGTGATGAGGTCCCATCTTCTGTAATTACTCCACTTACCACTGGGACTGTGTCCTTTTGCACAGATCATTTCTCACAGAAAGCAAGGACCCAAAGCAAAAGCTGATTAAAAAAAAAAAACCACAAGTTCTGTAGACAGATCTGAAAAGCTCTGATGGGATGACAACCCCAGGGAAAAAATGCCAACAAGGAACCTCTGGAGGTCTCTAGCCAAACCTCCTGCTCATAGCAGGCACAATTGTCGAGTTAGACCGTGTTTCTTAGAGCACTGTCCTGATGAGGTTTGAAATGGAGCCCCTCTGGTAATCCATACCCAACTCTGCCAAGGAACAGTACCTTCTTATTTCCCACGAGAGCTTCATTTCCTGCAGCTGGTGCCCATTGCCTCCCTTCTTTTCCAAGAACAGCCTAGGGCTGTGTTATCTTCAGGGTCCTTTTGAGAGAGTGAAAGGCTGCTACTGGATCCCTTCTCAAGCTCAAAAAGCCCAGTTCCAGCTTCTCACCAGTTCTACAACACAACTTCTGCCCAGCCTCTCCCCTCTGAAGAGAGCACACCTGCATAAAAAACCTTTGCCAACAGCCCTGGAGAAGAAGCCAACACTTTTTTCATCTCACAGGAAGGAACAGAAGGACAACAGACTCCTCCGATGCTTCATTCCCCTGCTTCACCTTCTCTGATATCACGCAAGACAATCTGAGAAGAAATAAAAGCCCTGCCTACAAACATCAAGAGAAATCTATTGGCAAGGGAGGAATGCAAAGGAAATGATCTCCAAATGAAACCCAAATGGACAGCCCACCCATCAGGTTGGTGGCTCATGGAGGTGAAGCGATGGCTTTTGCAGAGAAAGGGGGCATGGGGAAAGATTTAATTTGCAGTGCTCATTTTAATTATGTCTGCAGAAAGAGGGCATTTATTTTGCTGAACAAAGGCACAGGACAGCTGGACAAACTGCTTCGGTTGTTGCTGATCTGGCTTAAGGCACTGCAATCCCAGAAACCAAATCTAGTACGTAGCAAGCCTCTGCACTCCAAATTATACTGTTTTGACTGCACACTAACTCATGTCTATTAAACACCCTTGAATTTGAAAGCCTGTTCTGGAACCAAACAAGTAATGAATAAGCCAAGCAGTATCTTTCAATTACACAAGTATGGTAAAAAATAATTAAAAGGTTTCATAAAACAAAGCAGTGGTGAGCAGCACAGTTACTGACCAGAGCTGTGAGGCAGCTGCCCAGGAAGAGTCCCCATCCCTGGAGGTGTCCCAGAGCCCTGGGGATGTGGCTCTGAGGGATGTGGGTGGTGGACATGGTGGGATGGGTTGGGTTTTAGGATTTGAGAGGTCTTTTCCAGCTGTAATGATTCTGTAATTCTGTGAATTCTGAAGGAGCCAGCTTGCAAGAAGCCCAACCTAGCAGAAAAGCAAGCAGGGTCCTGCCGTGCCTGGCAGCAGCAGTGATTGGGCAAAGGATGTGCCAAGTGCCAGAGGGTTTGTCCAAGGGGAAGAGCAGCTGGGGGTATGGTGGAGACAGTATTGGGCTGCCCTCCTTTGATGACAGTAAGCTGGATCAGTTCAGCTCCAACATGAAATTTCATCCTCAGATACCAAAGTGCTGAGCACAAATGAAAAAAGCTACATTTCCAACCTGATGACTGAATTTCAAAGCAGAGCCTACAGAAACCTTTGAGGGGAGCAGGGAGAGGATGGACACCTTTTAAAAGCAGCCTGTTTCCAATGATGGGTGGCTGAAGGGAGTGTTTGCCTTACCCCAGCTACACTTCCAACTTTCAGCCCAATGTTACCCCCATCAGCACCCAGTTGGGCTGAAGCCAAAATAAACTTGGCATAATGCACAAATGTCCTGAGTTGGAACCTGATATGGCCCACGTGTTTGTTTTCAGGAAGAGGAGTTTTGAGCCAGAAACCAGGACCAATTTCCATATCAGGTTCTGGGCTCCTGAACTGTAACCTGTAATAGTCATGTCCTGCTTAGAGAAAGTTAATCCGTTAAAGCAGAAGTGAATTAAGAAAGTCTAAGGAGACAAACTTGGCAGGGATTTTGGTCACAAAAAGTTAAAATTACACTTTGACACGAAGCCAAGGCAAGACTCCAAGCCTATCAGTTCTTTATGAGCTCTCACTTGCTCTGTGCTGTAAAGGACCTGACAACAACTAAGCATCACACGCTTCTAACTTCAGTTATTTGAGCAATATACTGTAAAAATGAAATAAGGCTCATTCTCCCAAAGCCAGGAAGACAATTACTGAGCTGCAGTGCAGAACCATGCATTCACTGCATTTCATACAGATGGTAGGAGACTGATCTAACTACACTTGCAGGATCCCTCTTGGCAGCCTAATCTGCAAGTGTTAAAACAAACAACAGGTTCAGAGGATCAAATTTGTACAGTTCACTGCTAAATAAGCACCATCTAAAGTCTCAAGTTCCCTTCACATTTCTTTTTTTTTTTTCACCTACTCAAACAAAAGAATTCCATATTCCACATTCACTACATATGCTTTAGAAATAATGGTAGTTCACAGGCACTTTGAGTTAAACAAGCCACAAAAAACCTGCTCTTGTGGCTCTTAGGCTTTAAGGTTGTTATCAGCAGTGCTTTGGTCAATTTTCAATCCCTGAAGGGAAACAAATTGAAACAGATGTTGGCAGAGCTGTTCAAAAAAGTTTAGTTTCAGGACAACACACCATGACAGCCAGATGCAGCTTCTCAGGTTAGTCTCTAAGGGTTATATATAAACTTATAATCCTAGGAAGAAGAGAGCTAGAGCCCAACGAGCAACCTACAGGCCACACACAAAACACCACCATCCATCTTTCCAAGGTGCAAGCTAGGAGCCATATCTTGAACAGAACTTGTATCCTTCAAAGCCAAATAACTCCTCTCTCAAGCAGCCAAGCATCTCAACACTGGGAAGAGAAAACTCATGCTTCACCCTATACAAGCACTCAGCCTATCTGGCTGGGAGGACTGGGGAGGAGACAGGCAGGAGCCTGAAAACTGAGAAATCTATACCTGTTGATGCAGGATCATCTTGATCATCTTCCCTACTTATCTGCAACCAAGCATCACTTGAGGAAACTGGAAGTGTCCTGACTTCCTCCTTCCCTGGTCAAGTTCTGAAGGAATAAAGACTTGTGACTCTATTCTCCCTCCAGTGGCATATGATCAGGATCTGATACAAACTATTAGCAAAAACAGTTTGCATTAAGACACAAATTCTTCAAAGCATGGGTGTCACTGAAACCGTTCTCCCAAAAATCGAGTTGTCATAAAAGCATGGAATAACTTAAGGGAAGGGACCCTCAGAAGTCAAAGCAGGTCTGACTCAATCAGGTTGGATGAGACCATGTCTGTCTGAATCCTAAATATGTCCAAGGCTAGAGGCTAAACAATCTCTGTGTGCAGGTCAGAAACAAAGAGAAAAGAAACAAAGGATGGTTGTGGCCATCACAGACCAGCAGCTCTTAGGCTCATCTCTGGCAGTGGCCAAAAGCAGATTCTCAAAGTAGACAATGCAGTCATTTCATTACCTCATACAGCAGCAGATTGACAGTTAAAACAGCATGCACCAGAAAACTGACTACTCTCTGAAATCACCCAAGGATCCTGTCCACCTTTGTCTCCTTTTCTTCATCTGCAGTCTCAGTAGAATTTGAGAAACTCAGCTTAAAAAAGCATTTCAGAGATCTGTAACAGAGCTGCAAAATCACCTATTTTGCTAACAGAACAGTCAGGCATTTTGCTCCAATGCTATAACATAACACTGGGAACCATCTGCCATTCATTCTGGCACCTGAAGAACTTTCACTTTCTAACAAACACAGAAAGCTCTCAGTTTCAAACCCAACTGAAAGAATTCCTACCACGGAAGTCACTACATTGATCCAAATGTAGAAACGAACAGCATGCAATTTATTGCCTGAAAATGATAAAGAAATATTGTAATTTTTTAAAAAATTTAACTAACCTAGAGGCTAAACTAAAAACATTAAGAAAAAAAAAAGGAAGCAACAATATTATCTGGTCATAGCACTCTGTCACATATTTCTAGCTTTTTGGTTGAAGGATGGAAAGAAGATATGAGTGACTATGACAAGAAACTCCCAGATATAAGACACTCAATCATGACATTTTATTAATAGAAACACACATTCATCAATTCATAGATATGAATTATTTTAAATGAACATTTAACACAGACTGTAAGCCAAAAAAACATCTTTATAGTGACTTACCAGGAAGCCTGTTCATGTTGACCCCTTGAGCAGAAAGTCCTATTCCCATATACCTTCCAAAAAAGAATAAAAAGTACAGCATCAGTCAAGCTCAGAAGGGCCAAGACACAAGATTTCCCACAGCCTGGGGGAGAAACAACATAAGCAAATAATCTAAGGTAAGATTTGACCGTTGATTGTTGTTATTTTCCCCAAGAAAGCCATTTTCTACCCATCCAACCCAAACCATGTCTTTCGTTTTATTGTCCAGTCACCCAATGCTGTCAGATCCACAGCTCTTCTAAGTGAGCCTTTGTTTTTCCAACTATTGTTAGTTTCATACCATCAGCAAAAAAACATTATCTCATTATTCCATGTTATTCATTAAGGTAGTAAACACCACAGGCTTACTGCACATCCCTGCAGAGCATCCTCAGCCATGGGGATGAGAGGGAGCAGAGGCCATTCATTCCTCTGCCCCATTTCTTACCTTTTAACTAATCTAACCATCCAGACACGCAACATTATCCCCTATTTCCATTACCTTCCTTACAGATTCTCGGGGCTGAACCTGGTCAAACAGCATTTGCAAAAGCAAGCAGATTAATCTTAATCTACATATGCATTCAACAGGACTGTGAGGCACAGCCATTCTCCAAGGCTCCTTCCCCAGTAGGTAATATTTATGCACGTACCCATTTTGTTTCTTCTATTTCTGTTAATTTGCACGGCCTGTAATTCTCTTAATATGCCCTGGAGCCACAGAAACAGCTGCCCTGCTCAGCTTAATTTTAACGAGCTTCCACGTTTTTAGGTTACTGAGTCTGAAATTAACAGCTGACTGCGTGGCTCTTGTTCACATAAAGTTATAAATCTAAATAGGTTACAGCCAGTGTCCTACTCTTCTTTCATAGCACCAGCTTTCTTTCTTCCTGTGGTTTATATTTGGTGTATATTATTTGTTCCATAAAATATTAACCGTGTCTAAAAATACCGTTCCTGATTTGTGCCCCAAGGCAACCTTGGTGGTCACAGGCACAGGTTGATGGTTGGACTACGTCATTTTATTGGTCTTTCCAACCTTAATGGTTCTATGATTTCTTCAAGGCCTGTTGGTTAAGTCCCATCCAGCAACCGCTTCCCATTCTTGCCTTCGCTGTCTCCTATGTGTTCACTATTGCCCTGATTGGCCCCAAAACACCCAACCAGCCACTCTCTCCTCAATAAGACACAGGGAGAAGATAAGATTAAAAGCTCACGGATGAAAATAACAACAAGGAGATCACTCACCAGTCACCAGACAAAAAAGATTCCACTTGAGGAAGATTTAGTCCAAGTTTTGTTGCTCTTCACCACCTTTCACTATCACAGGGACCACAACCAGCACCCCATACATTATTCAGATGCTTTGTGAACGTGGTGCCTTCCAGGCATCTCATAGTGCCCATCCCCCTTCAGTTACAAATCAGAGTTCCTAATTACCCTATGGCTCACCTTTTCTTTTAGCTGATCCCCATCCAACCTGGCTTGCTTTCAGAGCAGACTGATACGTGGCCATCTTTCAATAAGGGGAATCCATTGCTGGAATTGCATGTTTGGACTGAACTTTGACAAATAGGGCCACGTCAACATCAACACCCAACTACAACCAAGAAACACCAACCCACGTCCTCTAGCTCTAAGCATATAGAAAACTATGTAATTACACAAGCACTAGGAAAGTATTAGCTTTTGATAAAGGAAATAATGAGAATTGAAATGTAGAAAAATTCCCAAAGGGCTTTGGCATCATCCAGTTCAGGAGCAAAAGGTTTGAACTTCCTGACAACATTTAGGTCAAACAAATTTATCTTGGAAACCCTCCAGTAACAGAGGACAGAATCCAGGACATTTGGCTGAATCTCCCATTTCTCATTAGGAAGGATAAAAAGAGATTTGTGAGAGTTTCCAAAATACCTTGGTTATCCATAATCACATAGCAAATGTGATATTCCCCGCAGAAGTGCTAAAAGCCCACAGCCTGTCTACAAAAAGAAGAGCTCAGAGCACTCTGCTCATTCAACAGAGCACTGGATGCTCACAGTGGAGCTTGGACATGGAGGACCAAACACTCTGAGTATATTAGGATTTGCACTGCTCTTAGGACAGGTGAAAATTTAGTTACAAAACTAAACTCTGAATAGCCTATAATACGTCCTGAAGTAGAAAGCTCAATGGTAAAGACCAGCATTGCTTCAAGATCTACATGAACCCGACAGTGACAAGCCAAGATCTCTAGGAGTTCATTTCAAAACCTAAATTTCCAAAGAACTGCAAAGATGAAAGAACCTTCTCTCCAGTCTAGCTGCTCCTCAGCAACACATGTAAACATAATGTAAACAGAACAAACTGTTAAATCTGAGGAGGGATACCATAGCTGCCAGTACCTTTATGCCACAGAGTCCAAATGGGAAGACACTGCTTGCTCTTTGGTCTATGAAATCCACACGATTCCTTTAAAAATGCAATTGAACAGTGATATGAAGGACAGCACAGTGGCAATTATTATCTAAGACAACAGCAGCTAATCGTTGTCCTGATGAAAAGTATCAGCAAATGATTACGTTTTTTATTAATTGAGATCCATTGTTGGTGTCCATTTCCCTGCTTTGAGAACCCATCCACTCAAGGTGTCAGTAGGACTTTCCAGCACCAACAACTACCATTGAACATGGAAAAAAAGTAAGTGGCACCACTGCTGGAACCCAGAGATGTTTTGGTTAAGGTCCTTCACCAGAAGATCTTAAAGAAATTATCTTGGTATAAAATCACCACACAGACTACTAACCTCACTGATAAAAGACCAGGATTAAGAAAAAGACTTGCAGAAACACAGCCATGAGGTAAAGACAGCAGATCACAGGCTCCAAACCTATGGCCTCCAGACTCAGGAAAGCCAAGAAAGAGAAGCAGGGGGGAGAGTAGGCTGGGGATGCTAATAGAACATGATTAAACTGCACAGTAAAGAAATATTCCAACCAGCCACATCCTGAGCTGCATTACTGTGAGCACAGAGCATTTGGATGCTGCTCTCAGACTGAGTTTGGGTCGTCCTGTGTAGAGCCAGGGGTTGGACTCCTTCCTACTCTGGATGTCCTATGATTCCCATGGGAGATCTTACTGCTGTCTACAGAGGCAAAGGGCCACAAAAATACTGAATCTCCACCCTCAGAGAGGTTCAAAAACTTGACTGCATACTGTTCTGAAGAAACTGATCTAACTGAAGTTCAACCTGCTTTCAATGGGGATGAACTGGATGACGTACCAAGACCCTTTCCAGCTTAAATTATTCAGTGATACTTGAACTTCAAGACAATTTTGCTGACAGGCAGCAAACTCTTGGCTACAGAACATAATGCACAATATCAAGCAAGCTGGGAGAGGCCAGGACTTTGACGCACACACGTATATCATGAGCTGATCTGATCCCATTAACTAACTGACCACAGCTTCCTCCCTGGTCATCAAAGAGAATGAGTTATCCAGGAAAAAAAACTTGTAGGATCTACAGAACAATCCTGAACTCTCAAACAAAGAACGCCACGATGACTCCTGCCAGCCTTAATGCCACAAGGACTTGGGCTGATGGTGTCCTGAACCTAGAGCTGATTGGAAGAAAAGCCACAAGGAAGGTTCTGCTCTGATGTAGAGTGCTCAAGGATAACAGAAACTTGAAAGCACTGTGAGAAAGAGAAGAGAAAGCGCTGTGTTATCTCATTCATTGGGATCTCCATTAAAAAAAAAAAAAGTATAGATTTCTTTTTCCTCTGAAATCAAAGTCTTTTTAAAGATCACGCTCTGCAGTTAATGGCTTAGCTATTTCATTCTTTAGAACTCTTGAATGAACACCAGATAACCTCTAATGACTCCTTCCTGTGTTTTATTGACAAATAACATGATTGTGGTATTAACTCATCAACAGAAGCCAAATCATGCTTTAAATGCAGACTGAAGCAGACTGGCATTTGGAAGCTTCCAAACATTCCTCCACAACAGACACATCTGCAAAGCAATTTATTTCTCTGTCACGACCCTACCTGCTCATAGCCCTTCATAAGAAATTCTCCTGAATCATCTCCTGCTCTTAAAGACTCTCTGGCTCTCCTCCTGTACCTGATGTTTTGGGAGGGAAAAACATTAACGTCTGACTTTGAGCCAAACACCCATCAAGTGCTTCTGGTCAACTCTACGGTGCTTTTTACACTTCAAGTTTGTTCTCTGCATTTCTCTCATCTAATAAAACTCCAGCCTTTGCAGGGTGCATCCCCTGTCCTCTCTCACCTTTGTGTCCGATTGTGTCAACTGTATTCACTGCTCATTTTGAGTCTCTCCAATTAGTTCATACCCATTTACTCTGATCTTCCTGCTCGAAGAGCCTCCATACCATCTAAAACATTTCACCTTTATGATTCCATCTTTTTAGTAACTTGTCTTAAGCTTCCTCATTTACACAGCATTTCTTGGGTGTGGTTGTTTTTTTTTGGAGGAACGTGAAAGAATTTGGGTTTGGGGGCCTTTTCACAGTGCCTCTCAATGGACATTAAACACAACTATTTATATAATGATTTAAAAATCATTTTCTGCACTGCTCAGAGCATGAGTCAGAAGTTACATCCTCTCATGAGTTCCCTGACTAACCTCTTTGAATCAGTCATTTACAGCATCTAAAAATTTCGTCTCACACTCCTATGTGACACACACATGATCTATAAAGAACAAACTATTCCAAAGCTGTGTTTACAGCCTGCCAGGCACAATATGGAAGGTTTCTCCCTAGAGCTGCAAGGTGATCTCTTGCTTTTCATCGCCCACCTTCTTAAAGCATTGACAGTTCATACAGGATGTTTGTTAGCAGCTCCATTTTCTTATTCCTCCTGAGTCTGGAACCCCCTGCTGCTGCAATTTTCCTTGCTACACAGCAGGCTTTGCTGTTTCAATCCCTTTCCAACTGTGGCACACTTGCAGCGAGGACCAGAGTCCACAGCTAAAGTTACTCTCCAGCTGTACATTGCTTCAGAGAGCAGTGACAAGTGCC